GTGTTTTCTAATTAATCTACTATTATTGTTGTTGTTGTTATAGTCGGTTGATTCTTTTTCTTCTGATAACTTTTCATCTTTAATTTGTCCAATTTCATTTCCATAAATTTCAAAATATTTAACCAATTTATTTTCTAATTGATTAATAATTTCTTCTTCAATCAATTTACAATAATCAATTTCATTTACTACTATTTCTTTTCCTCTTTTTTCCATCGTTACCGCTGATTCTTTTTCTTTATTAACACCATTGAATTGAAGTGATGGAGATGATTTATGATTAATTTCATCATTTATAATAATATTTTTAGATTTATTATCATTAGTCATCAAACCTTTTTTAGAATCTTTGAACAATTCTTTAATCGTCAGTTTAAACAATTCAAAATCTTTGTGCAAATCTAGTCTTATGTTTTCAATTCTCTCTTCGAAATTGTCATGAAACAATTGTTTAAACAATGATTCAATTCTCCGTTTAATCTGATTGAAAATATTTTCATAATCATCTTCATTCCTAATGCACAAAAAAAAATCCATTATATAATTTTTATTTTTAGGACAAAATATAATGATAATAATAATAATAATATAATAATAATAATAATAATAATAATGATAATAATAATAATAATAATTACCTTGGAGTGTTAAAAGGTAATGAGATTTTATCTTCAAAATATTCGGTAACGCTACCACCATTACCGTTAACATTATCATAATCTTTGTAGATGCTTCTACCATTATCAACAATTTCAACATCAAATGATATCAGATTTCCGATTGGATCAATCGATTTGTTATCAGTATTATCATTATTATTATAATAATTTTTGTCTTCTTTTTGATTATTTTTCTGTAAATCTTTTGATGATTGAGCTTTTGTTTCTTCATTATCAACTACTACTTTATGCTCAAGATTTATAATATTTGTAAATTTAGATGATGATAATGATGATGGAATAAGATAAATCTTTTGTTCTTTTTCTCCCAATGTTTGTTCTTCATCAAATGATCCATTTTCACTACTATCATTTATTCTGCCCTCGTCCACCACCATTTCCTCCTTATTCCCTTCATTAAGAATCTGTTCCGCTACAGTTTGTTCTACCGATCTTGCATTTTTTTCTTGTTGCTGTTGTTGTACGTAGGTTTCTTCTGAAATTGTTGATTTTACTAGATCAGATTCAGAATCTTTATTTGTCTTTCCTGATGATGATGATTCTTTTTCTTTTGATGATTTATTATAATTCGTCATATCTGGTGTTTCCATCTTGTTATTAGCTTGAAAGGGGGATTTTTT